ATATATATATACTCATATGTCGGTATTCATAGAGGTCTCCATATGCAGATATGCATCATAAAGGTCTCTACATGTACATGTACATATTAGCTCTCCTCGCAAGCAAGAATGCTTGTGTGCATGTGTACACACACACACATATATATATATATGTGTATGTCCATACCTGTACATACGTTTTTTACATACATTGACATGCTTTCAAGCTTTCCGTTTGAAAGACGTTCATTTTTTCACTTACCTACAGATGTCGGTGTATTGAAGGTGTTCCCTTGCTAGCAGTCTGACCCGGTGAATGCATGAGCCTGGACAAACACACGTGCATGTCGCACAGAGGTGTTCGTGTTTCCCCTCGCCTCTCTCTCTCTCTATCTCTCTCTCTCTCTCTGTCTCTCCCTCGCCCTCTCCTTCTCCCTCTCCCTCTCCTTCTCGTTGTCTCTCTCTCTCTCTCTCTCTCTCGCTCTCTCCCTCTCCCTCTCCCTCTCCCTCTCCCTCTCCCTCTCCCTCTCCCTCTCTCTGCCTCTCTGCCTCTCTCTCTCTCTCTCTCTCTACCTCTCCTTCTCTCTCCATCTGTCTCATATATGAAAACATGTGTTTCGAAACACGAACTTATGTCTTTCTACCGGTGATTTGTCGTTTTGTTTGCAAACGCCTTTGTGTCACCTGGTGAATGGATCATGCCAACTCGTCAGCTTGCGCTGTTGCTGAAGCTTTGTCATTTTCTTGTTAATGCACCTGTGTGTGTGTAGGAACGTAAATAAGAAGACGCGGATGTGCAAACAACGACAGACAGATGGACAAGGTACGACACTGATAAGGCAATTATGGTTTGAAGGCATGTTCCAGATTCCAGGTTGCGGGCTGCAGGTGACGTGGATGGGCACAGAAGCACATACGTACAGACAGATCCAGACATGGATACAACTCATGCTTAGGTGCTGTCGTGTTGGAGGTGTATGCATGTACGGGACATAGGGCCTTCACAGTTCAATGGTCGAGGAATCAAACGTAGAGACTCTCTTGTAATGGTTTGTGCCAGCGGCAGGTGCATCGTATTCACAATATTGTCATTTAAAATGGCAGCTTGGCTTCCGCTTTGTGCCCAATGCTACGCCGCACAAACACCACCCGAAACCTTGTCTTTCCCTGCTGTTCAGGGACAAGGTTCCTCAGGATTTAACCAATAGAAGATGATCTCGTAAGGCTGTTCAGGGTTAAGCTTTCGGGTTCATGGAATCAGTCTTGAAAGACTGCGGTGTTGAGGTTCGAGGAGTTTTGGTTGACCTTCCAGAGTCAGAGTCGGAATCTTTGCAAGGATAGGACCTTTGGTTTATCAGGTGCACTTACAGCTGGTCACAACAGCCGCAATCACAAGAAGGGGTGCCCAGAACCTCTGCATTAGATGCTGTTGTCCACATTGGACTTCGGTGGGTTGGCCGTGTTATGCCGAAATCGGAAAGAGTCCGCAATCCAATGCCCTCTGAGGACAGCTTGATGCTCTTTGTGCCGGCGACGACGGGCTTTCAGCTTGTCTCCATTCTGAACACCGCCTAGGCTTCTGCGGTTGGTTGATATCCACTTTGAGTATTCGGCATAAGCACAGGTCGCATGCCAGGTTTTGTGAAGGCATGATAATTTTCGAGTCTAGAAGTAGGCAGGGGCCTACTATCGACAGATTCAAAGGCTGTTCTTGAAGCAGTTGTCCAAAGCTGGAGTTGTGTGATATGGGGGGGAGAAGATGTTGGTTTGGGACTCTCTGTTGCTTTCGCCGTGGGTCGAGGCGCTCCCTGGAGCCACTCTACACCCTGAATCGACACTCAGGACACACCACACAGAGGGCTTCAAGTTGGTACCAGTACGCTGCACTCTCCTTACACTTAAACTTAAACGTTGCGGACAAGCCTGCAAAGCGAGGCAAACAAAGAAGATTGATCACCCAACTTAACCTAAGGGCTGAGGACTCCAGCGTTTGGGTCTTATAGGCAGTGTGCTTGCCCCTTGGCCTGGAGTTTCTCAACCCAAACATCTTGACTGCGCAGCTGACAGTAGCCAGGCCCCTCCAAAGGCTCCTGGCCAGCGGCCGAGCTCTGATCTGAAAAGACCCTATCTCTCAACTCTTGGATCTGGGGGCTACTGTAAGGTCTGACAGACGGGGATTAGGCCGCATCAGGTTCCCTTTAAGGTGACCATGTCGACATCTCGACTTTGTCAAACTTTGCCGGAATTGCGCCCAAAACCGGGACCTGTAGAACAACCCACGCTTGCAGACCATCGTTGCGCTGCATGTATTGCCTCAACCTCCTGTCCTTCGTCAGGTTTGGAGCCCAGCAGGGCACCGGAGTTTAAGTCGGGGATTGTCCTTCATGTGCTTTGATTTGGCGGGCTAGGAGTTTGGGCTTGGACCTACCTTCTGAAAGATGTGACTGGACCGTTCGGGGTTCGTCTTTCCGGGTCGTTTCTTACAGGGAAGTCTGGTATTGGGCCTTTTTCAGTTTTCGGCAAAGCCCTTTCAGCCGGCACGCCTGTTTCCAGAGTCCGATAGATCAGATTGGGGTTGTTCCGGGTTGAGGGCTAAGGGTTTGGATTTTGTGAATCTTTTTCCCGGTGCTGTGCCGTCCCCTTGAAACCTAATCTCCTGCAGGCTCACGCAGTCCACCAAGTTGCTGGGAGAGTCGAAACCCTAAACATTCAGTACAGCAGGGCAGTCGTAGAATCTTCTTGCAACAAGACAGGCGGCCAAGTGCACTGCAATCAGGATCTTGGGATGCTGGGTAAAGCTGTCGAACGCGAAATCCAGGCCATGAATTCCTGAGCCAAAAGTAGAACAGCAAAGCACAAAGTACCACCAGAACCACCAGGCAAACCATCACTTAAGCCACTGCTATAGAACAGGTTCTGCTGCGATTGCTGCTGCTATGGATATCCCTGCTGATGTCGCCACTCTCTTTCTTGCCGCTGCCGCTGCCACAACAACAACAACTGCTGCTACTATTACTACTACGACACTGCGATTGCTGCTGCAACTGCTGCCACAACTACTACTATGGCTGCTACTACTATGGCGACGACGACTATGTACTACTACTGCTACTACTACTACTCCTAATGGTCCTACACCTAGTCCTAGCGCTAGTACTAGCATTAGCACTACTAGCACTACATTCTACTACCTCTGCCATCGTGATTCTTCATGGTGTGTCTTTGCATCACCGTCTTCATCTTCCACAGTCGCACATCAGACCAGCGCAGTCTGAACAAGAGTAGCGCACGTGCCTGTGCCAGGATGGCTCTTCCGGAGGCCTTCACTTGTAAACATTGACGGAACCGTTGCTCGGGCGGGCAGTTTTCGTTCCATACTGACCTGCACTCGTTCCAGGGTCCGAAGGATGATTTGAAGCCCGTTCTCCGGAGTCCCAAACTTATTTCCCTTCCAGCTGTTGGCAGCTGGTCCTTGAACCCTCTCGCCTGCAGACCTTCGGTCCCGGAGCTCAGGACTTTAAAGCCGTAGGTCTGAAGCCTCGCCCGACCCGGCAAGCTGCCAGAGTTGAGGACCGAATTAACTTGGTCCCTAGGCCCTAGGTGATTTGTAGAAAGCAGTCTTTGCACGTGGCACAAGGCCGGCCGAATCCATGGCAACTCCAAAGTCGACGGACCTCGCCCAAAAAAGAGCGCATCAGATTGGATTTAGTCATTCTGCGCTAAGCGGCTAGATGCCTTGCTTTGTCAACTACTCGATATCCAGATATCTCATGTTGCAGGCCTTTCCAATCGCACGACCTGCTGCTGCATGCGGCTAATTAGGCGCTAACCTGTTTGTTCCTTCGGGAACTACTTCTCTCTGGCTTTCGCATTAATTTGCCTTTCATCGTGCTGTTGTATCGCAAAGCACTGCTACATTTGGTGTCGGTCCAGTCTTTGTGGTTCCTACTTGTTCGTCACAACCTACCGGTACGTGTTGTGTTTCAGACTTTTTCGATGGTTCTCACCCTCAGAAGGGCTATCCAAAGCAAAGGTAACTGGAGGGTTCGCATTGTCTGTCTCGAACTTCTGCAAAAGGGCTTGGTTACGACTCAGGATTGCTTCAGGTTTTCAGCCAGAACATCTGCTCAATGGGATGTGGTGTGAGGCCAGTGCTACTCCAACAGGACGCGGCTGGAAATGCTAGTGCTTGCACACCGGCTCGTTCAACACCAAGAACCGGCTACCCAGACTTGTCTATGAACTGGGTCGAAGCTCAGAAGGAAACGCGTTTTGAGAATCATCATATCACATGTCGGGAGATCTTGTGCCATTCGGCTAGAACTTGGTCTCCTTCCATGATGTAATACGTTTTGACATGCTCAAGCATTGCTTGAGTGTCGCATGGCCTCGGTTCAGAATTTACCGAGTCGGAATGAGGCGCCAGGGTCTTTAAGGCTTTTAGGTTAGGGGCCCTGCCTGCAAAGAAAAGCATCCTTTTCAGGCGAGGCGGTGAAGGACTCGTTGCTGCAAAGAGTTTATGCTTGTCGCTCGTGCGATAGTTTTCCCAAAAATGCAGCAGACTTTCCGTACAATGACGGTTGCTGGTGTCTTGTTGCCAGCCATATCAGATTCGCATCTGCCAGTGCTTCCAGAAGCACGGCCGCACAGGCAATAGCTGCGATGGCTGATCTTGTGTTGCATCCTTGTATTTGTTATGCACATCCGGACGTGAAGACCTCACGGGGGTTCAGATGTGAAGTCTCTTGAAGCTCCGAGGATCAGTGCCTGACCGCCTGCTGTGTCAGCTTAGTAAATATCGCGGAAACCCGCCTCTTCAGCCCCCATGCCGTAGCATGAGTTCCGGCTATAGGTCAGAGTGTGTGTTGTTAACTCGTGCAACGTGCCAGACACGTGAGTAGGCCCCATGATTTCAGTTCCTTGACTGCACGGCTTCGCGCAGCTAGGCACTCTTGCATGTAACGCCAAACATCCCCCCGACAGGTAGGAGTGCCAGGAATCAGTCTCACTTTGTCCCGCACATGGCGGCCGCCCAGCAATGGCAGCTAGGGCCGCAAGATCACCAGCTGCTCACTGCGCTCTTCCCAGTCTATTTCCCTGCGAGGGAGCCGGAGCATACCCAGACCCATCCGATGAGCAAGCCGGAAGTGCAGGAGGCAAGCACGTCTTGACGTTTGGAAGATAGGAGGGTCCGTGTAATAACCATTTGCTAGGGTAGCGTTGTTAAGAGTATTGGCCGGGTCAGTGTCCGATACAGCACTTCTGGCATTTGCCGTGGTAGAGTTGCTGAGATGCAGTGAGAGCCCTGTTATCCCCAGCTTCTGTTTCCAAAGACTTTTGTGTTCCACTGTGGGCCGAAATATTCCATAGGGTCGCCGAACATGTCCAGTGCCAACCAACTACAGCCCCAGCCGAATTCAACACCCCTCCCCAGGCGCTGCAGTGGTGCATGTCGTTTGCGAACGCAGTGCTGGCGCCACGGAGTGTCGACGTCCTCGCGGCTCTTCAGGCTGCTAGGGCACGATTCACACTGGAGGACGCATGCGTTGGTTCCATGTCTAGCCAAGTCCACCTCGAAAACCCCAAACTGAAAGAGGGCACCTCCCACCGCCAGGGGTCGAACGTTCGAGACTTTGTGGGTTGGACATGTTGGACGGGTGAAAGTTTCCATTCTTGAAGGTTCGAGAAAAGATTATAAACCTTCGCATGCACATGCGCGTGCGTGAGAGTCGAAGTTATCAAACTCGAAAACTTTCGAGGTCGACTCGCCTCGCTGCTTCGAACTAAAGCAGCACCCTTTGGCCGTGGCCGAGTTCGATCGTCTCTCAAAGTTTCAATCGCTCGAAAGTTTGAACGATCGAATGGTTCGAAAGATTTTTATCTTGACCGTTCGAAGGGTTCAAAAGCTGAAAGTCAGGCTGTCCACGGTTCATTTCGGTTCGGTTAGTAGTTATTGTCGCCCTGATGTAGTGATCGGCGTTTGCTACAGATGCGGGGGCTTGGGGTGTAACCTCTTGTTGCTTCGCACTGGATCGAAGTCGTCCAGACCGTGGTCTTGTTTTGCACATGGCCGCATCATCGGAACGAGGGGATGTTGTGGCTTTGACTTGGGGTTATTCCGAATTGGGATTCCGGTTCCCGTTGGTCGGGCAGAAAGCAGACCCTGCGAGCATGGCACAATGCTTTCCCCTAAGCCCGAGATCTGCAAAGTCCGCGGTTTCCAACCCCTCATCGACGTAAGCCTACGTACGAGGCACCCGAACGGGCAGGTCAGGTTCTTTGGATACTGGCGTCTCTGTGTTCTTGGAAGCCCAAGGCGACGCCAAACCGAGAGGATTCCTAGGCAAGCTGCCAATTTTAAATCCCCACATCAACAGACCTTCGTCGGGAGGAGCTGCGGTCGCTGCGTGGGGATCGAAGCCGTGAGGAGCTGTGCAGACGGCTCCATGCCCATCCTGACCAGTTCCTTGCAGAGGCTCCTTGGTTGAAGTCGCAGCATTTGGAAGCATCCCCTTAGTCTTCGTTCCATGTGATGCACCAGATTGAGCTTTAGGGCGTTAGTCGTTAGTGATGCCCGGAAGGATGCCCTCGTTGAGAACAGCCCTGGAATCTTCCAGCTGATAACTTTTCAGATTTCCTACTTAGCTGCTGTGGTTGGTCTTTGGGTGTTGGGTTTTCAGTCCCCCAGGCCTGAGTTCTCAGACCAAAATAATTAGATTCGTGAGGTTGGCTTGGGCTTTGACTTGGCCAACTCAGCTGTCAGAAGGCAATGTCCTGAGTGCCTTGGGCAGTGAGCACGTGCTTGTTGGCAGAGTTGGGATTTCAGGAAGTAAGTAGTCTCGCCGGTGGTGATGGCATTGTTTGGTAGTGTAGTTGACTGAAGTTCGCATCATCAGGAACTGGCTTGCACATTCACAACCTACATGCCTTGATGTTCCGGGTTGCGACGGAACACCTACGCCCTACGCCCTCTCAGTACAGCCGAGCCTCCTGGGGAAGAACCCTGGGGTGGAAGTACACACCTGCCACGAGCCGCAGGTGCGCGAACCTTCGGGCGCGGGGGGTGCCCGGACACTGCCCTTTCCCCTTACCTCGTAGAGAGAGAGAGAGAGAGAGAGATGAAGTGAAGTGAAGTGAAGTGAAGTGAAGTGAAGTGAAGTGAAGTAGAGAGAGAGAGAGAGAGAGAGAGAGAGAGAGAGAGAGAGGAAAAAACAAACACGTGGGCACGAACGCACACGCTTACATCGCACACGGTATCACGAGCTGGCCAGGGACCTTCTTCAACAATGGAAAGACCTGAGTGCTTTAACTCCAGAAAGTCCCACACCGTTTGCGCTGAACTTGAGCCGAAAGCCGAAAACCCTTGAAGTATTCTTTGGGCAGCCCAGGCAGTTTCAGCTTCCGGATGTCACTGAAAGAGCTGCTCCAACTTTAAGCAGGCCCGTGGATGTGGAGGTGGGCTCCGGGCCAAAAACGGGCCCTGGACCCTTCACTGCCCTCCAGACGGTTCACAGGTTCAGGATTGAGGTTGTGAGTGCATATGTTTTTTTTCGGAGGGGGGGAGGGGAAAGGCGCGTGGGGGGAATTGGAATTGAAATTGAAGACTCAATGGCTCGAGAGTCCAGGGGCTCAATGGTTGACACACTGGTTAACAGGGAGCCGACAGCACAGGAATAACTAGAGACCTCCCTGTGGACTCTGCAGTTCTGCACATCATTGACGAGGCCGCAGTTGTCACTAAACTCCCTAAACGCGATTGAACTCGCACTGTAACCGCCGCATCAGAAAACATCTTGTTTGATACCCCTCAGTGCCCCGGTTGCACACCCATGCTCCCCTGAATTTAAGCCCTAAGGTCGTTGCCAAAGATCTGGAGCAACCGGTGCAGTCGGTCAGGTCCGATTTAATCGACCGCTATGTCGGCCTGAGGGGAAGTATTGTGACTCGATCGCAGAGTGCCTTCCTAACCCCTGGCAGCCCTGTCCCTGGACTCTTCTGATTTTTTGGTTTACTCAGCTGGCGGCCTGTCTGGCCTCTCCTGGAGAACAGGAGCGCCCTCAGCTTGGAAAGAAAAACACAGTAACGGGTGGTTGAGTTTGTTCGGGTTTGTGCTTCCGGCTTTGCCTTTCAGGCTGGTCCATAGTGTTCCTTTAACCCCCGAACTTCCTACGGCTTACGTCACAAACCACAATAGAATCGCCGCAATTGGGCCACCCCCCCTGCAAACAGACTGCCGCGGTGGATGTCATTTATTTAGTTCAGTCTTGGCCTTCGTGAAGTAAGCGCTCTCGGCGATGTTGGACCTTGCGGGCTCCACGAAGTAGTACTCTGTTTTGGGGGATTAACCGTTAGCCACTCTTACTATGACCTAGAGGATGATCGTGATCGACGGTGATAGTCAGAGGCGTTGTTAGGATGACGAAACTGACGCTTGCGCGACCAAGAATGCTGGCATGATGACGACCCGTATGGTCACGACACTGTGATGATTGTAATGACGATGAGGGTGTAGCCCTGAAAGCAATGCAGGGGTAGGGATGTTGGTGACGACGGCACGTATCCGATGCTTGCCGTTGCTCAGGCGGCATCCTGAATGTTTCCGTAGAGCTTGTTATAGCTTGTCTCGCAGAAGCCGAAGGTGCGGGCAGCCAACATCGCACCGCTCATCACCGAAGTTTGCTTCACCTGCTCCAGGTGTGGCTCCGAGGTCCCTCGCGGCACCAGGAGAACTTCTGTCCGTTGCTCGTAGGGGTGCCTGCATCGGGGTTGCTATCTACCGTGTATGACTTCCCAGACTTGTGCCGACGTTGTTCGTTGACGGCGGTAATGCCGCCAAGTCTTGGACGCTGCGACGTTAGCCTTCTGAGTGGCACCGGGACTTTGCTCAAATGCATAGTGTCGCATAGTCATAGGCATTGAATTGCGATCCCAGGAAATGCCGAACAAGGTCATCAACGTTTTTGCCAAAGTAATTAGTGCGCAGTGCTACCATATCGATGCTGATTTGTACACTCCGAGCTATACAACACACGAACCTTTTCAAAACACGAGAAGCAGCTCCAACTCCAGCCTCTCACCAGTTCGTGGTTGCAGTGGTGTAGCGTTTAGAATTTCAAGGTCAACCCTAGACCCTCGATAGCTAAAGCTATCTGCAAGCTTTCAAGTTCTGGCATTTCCGCGAACCTTGGCGCAGTCAGGTTCAGACCCCTGCTGCCGAGGGTCGCTTTGAGTATCCATCTGGCTCCTGGGCTGGGATCCGGGGTTTCAGGTAGGTAGATTGTTTTGGCTGGAGCCAAAGGTGCCGCACCCGTCGAAAAAGAACAAGCTTGAGGTGAGTTGTTTGGGTTGCCACGTGCTGATCGCAGCCCAGGCTGCCCAAAGAAGTGCCGATTTGCGCGCTTCACCGCGAACAAGGACAAATGTCAAGCCATCGACTGGCAGAGGATTCGCCTGCAGGAGGACACATGCAGGGTGTCTCCTGTTAACGCGTGAACCCGTGAATTCTAGATGAAGCCGACGGCTTGAGCCCTACGTCACCCTCCGCATCGCAAATTTTTCGCACGCCCCAGGACTTCTCCGAGCTGGTTGCCTCTGGCGCACCCCAGCGCCGCATGCCCCGCACATTGGACTGCGAGCCTTGGTGCTTAATCATTGAAGCGGTTCCAATTTGTGTAACGAGTTGGCTGCCGCATCTGGAGGAGGCTTTGTTAGGGGAAACAGCTGGTTCATGTGAACTGATAGAGGTTGATGAACAGAAGATGAGAAGATCTCGGATTTACTGGTTTTTAAAGTATGAGCCTGGAAAAGTTCCCCGCATTTCTGCTTCGTTGGAGCACCTGGCTTTATGTGAGCCGGGGGTGGGATTTGTGGTAGAACTCCAGGCCATGCATGCTGGGATCAGCCGCATGACACTACTCAGGTACCATCGAAACCATCAGTCGCAACATGTAGTGTAACTATGTCCCGAGCAGCCATGAGCAGCCTAGACTCTACTCTCTCGCAGCGCCTGTTTCCTGAAAGTGCGAGTTGGGGAGCTCAACTACTACTATCAGCATGCTGGGAACCACTTCTAATTATGCCATTGGTTTCGGCATGATTTCTCGCATGAAGAAAGGATCTCAAGAGGGCCCTCGTGGGCTCTTGCGTGCCCGGCGACGCCGTGACGCTCTATGGCGTGATCCGCTGCATGCCCACTTCCGGGACAGCTTGGGGACAAATGATGGAGGCTTCTTCAGTCGGGTTTGTCAATCAGGGTCGCGTTTGGCTTCTATGGCTTCAAAGCTGCTAAAATGATATAGGATCAGACGATTTGGGGATTGTGTGTCTAGCGCAGAGCAGAAAAGAAGAGTTCAGGTTCGGGTAGTCTTGGAATCTTCTACGGGCAGTCTAAGACAGAGACGGAGAAACTGCCAACGAAGATTTGGTGCTGTTCCCGCGTGCGTATACAAGGCAGCAGTTGGATAGGAATAAGCACGCATCTAATTCCTGAATACTGTCTTTGTGTAGACGGGCTTGGCAGGATTCGCAGGAGAACCCTGGACAGCACCGTAGATGATGCAACGCATCCTCGACTGTCGTTTGGTCTTGCAGCCGCGTCATCCGTTAGAAACCTGTGCAGCAAAGAGAAGTCTGAGAAGTCGAGGACAATGTCAGCTGGTGACAGCCGCCAGACGCCGTCAAAGTCGCTTTATGTCCTCTACCTCGAGGTCTCGGTGCTGGAGCCGATTCTTGCTAAGTCACCGTGTCTACGGTACGTAATGCAGCGAGATCCGCTCAAGTTTTGCATTGCTTGTAGAACGCCTGCTGCAGATTTGGGAATGTACTGGGGTTGTCCACGTGATGGTATGCGGCATTGAACACTTTGCCGGCTTCAGGCTGAGGTAGGGGTCGTCATCAAATCCGAAAGCCTACACCCCAAGCTTTTAGCATAGGTGGTGCCGGTCTGTCTTTGAAACTCGGGGAATTGAAGGCCTTACACGCTTGGGGCTCGGGCAGAGGATTTCTGGGCCCGATGCTGAAGCGAAGAAGAAGACGAGGAAGACATTCTACATCGCAAACGCCACTGTCAATCAAAAACTGTGTGCGGCAAGGTCAAGGCCTTGGTGAACACCCGCCGGGCCGAGGGTCTGCAGCAGGTTGGAGGTGCGATGCAAACTGGGGAGGAAGAGTTTACAGCCCTGCAGCTGTCATTTATTCGGGAGACCCCCGGTGGCATTCATGCAGGCTGTGCAAGCTAAGGCCAAAGGGCGTAATTTCATAAAGCTTCATTCCGGAACTCTCGTGCAATCTTCGAACAGAGATCGAGGATGTACAAGGAGAAGGAGAAGCTTCCAATCTTAGTCGCCTCCTTCTGCCAGCACATCTACGGGCAGCCTCTGGTCAAGGCCTGCTTGCTGCCTGAACGTTGCATCGTGAGTTCTCAGCCCACTTGCTGACATGAAGCTCTTATGCACGCGGTGTGCAGATGTGGTAGTGGCGGAAGTAATGTCACTACTACTACTACTACTACTACTCCTACTACTCCTACTTCTCCTACTCCTACTCCTACTCCTACTCCTACTCCTACTCCTCCTACTCCTACTCCTCCTACTGCTACTGCTACTGCTACTGCTACTGCTGCTGCTGCTGCTGCTCCTGCTACTGCTACTGCTACTGCTACTGCTACTGGTACTACTACTGCTACTACTACTACTACTACTACTGCTACTACTACTACTACGACTACTACTACGACTACTACTGCTACTACTACTACTACTACTACTACTACTACTCCTACTCCTACTCTTTTGCTACTGCCCACTACTCCTGCTGCTGCTGCTGCTGCTGCAACTACTACTACTACTACTACGACTACTACTACGACGACTACTACTACTATTACTACTACTACTCCTACTACTACTACTACTACTCCTACTACTGCTACTACGACTACGACTTGTACGAACTAGCACTACGTCCAGCCTTGTCGTGGAACGACAACCAAGTCTGAAATGATTGTGACGACGACTGACTGCTGCAGCATTGAAGCACAAATTGCAGATGCAAGTAGTTGTGTGTACATGACCATGAAGAGTACATTTTCAGCATGGTCTCAGCTGGACAGAAAACCCAGGCCGCACTGCTTCTCTCTCTCCTCGGCGGCCGCCCTCTTCGGGCCGAAGGTGCCGAACGGCGTCTCAGACGTCGAGGCGACATCCATGCGCCCAGGCTTTGTGCAATGTTTCCTGCATTGTTGTGTTGGTGCTCGTTGTGAATCTGTTGGCTCGTGGTGATGGCATGATGACGATGAATATGACGGTGGTCTTGGATGCCCCAAAGCCCAATCTGATTTCCGATCGCAATATGCCTTGGTGCGACATCCCTTTCATGAATGCAATCCGCGCGGCATGCGCAAAGACCGGTCAAAACAGAAGTCAGAAAGGCAAAGGCAGTCGGTCCGAACCAAGGCACGACAGAACAAAACAACGAATGGGTTCAAAAGGATACCGAGTCCGGTAAAGCGAACGCCGCTGAAAACAAAGGAGGCTTTCAAAGATCTTCAAAACACAAGATCTTGATGAGTCTAGGATGCTGTAGGACGCTTTCCACGCCGTTGCTGGGCGACTTGCGATTCAATTGTCGGACGTGTTGTGATCGGATCCGATTAATTTCACCTGAACCAAGGTCCTGCTTTCTTTGTTGCACTTTCCTTGCTGAATGGGTCACGACGTGTCGTTTCAGACCCAATCTTTGCTTAATCGTTGCTTGATCTACGACCGTTGCGCGTTAGCCGGTTTTTCGGGCTTGGATCTGTTATGTTTTTTGAAGAGCAGTGCCCGACTAATGCCTGAACAGCAAAGAACATCTGATGATGATGGCTGAAGCGGCTGTAGAGGCAGCTACCCTCCGAGACTGCAACGGCTGCTGCTCCTGCTATGGGAACGAGCTACTAGAACCATTGCAAGTATTGTTGCTGCTGCTACCACAACAACAACAACAGCTGCTACTATTACTACGACTACTACTACTACTACTACCACTACTACTACTACTACTACTACTACTACTACTACCACTACTACTACGACTACTACTACTACTACTACTACCACTACTACTACTGCTGCTGCTACTACTACTACTACTACTACCACCACCACTACTACTACTACTACTACTGCTACCACGACGACGACTACGGCTACGCAAACTACTACTGTTAATAAGATTATACTGTCTACTTCTACGGTTGCTGCTTCTTCTTCTACTGTTGTTCCTCTTGCCCCTGAAAATCGTCTTTCCACGAGATTTTTGATGCCTGTAAAATCTGCAAAGGTCTTGCGGTGAATTAGTAGGCTTTTTGCGAGTATCCTGAAGTGGCCAAGGTGTTGCTGCTGGGAGATCCCGGTCTTGGGAAAAGCGAGCTGCTGAGGGCCTTGGCTAGGCTCACGAGACTTGGAATTGTGCTCGTAGGCGTATCATCAGGAACGGTTGCCATTCAGGAGCACCCCGTTTACGAAGCTTGGTGCCCCAAACATCCTAAAACCCTATGCTCCATGCATCACAAAACGATTCAGAGCATGAGCCCGGAGCCCTGTTCGGGGGCTGGATTTTGGGAAAGCTTTATGAAACAGCAGCTCTCTCTGTCACACTTCTAGCCTCAAATGCTGCGCGAGCTTGAGTCCTGAACCCTGAATTTTCCTAGAGCTTGAATCCGCACTCCACACCTTCACCACAAATCCAAAGCGGGAAAACTTAATTTAGCCCATCGAAGGCCCCCTATTCAGCCAGTAGTTAACCTGTGGCCCGAGAAGATCATAGAAGCTGAGCCCAGGCTCAGCTCCGGAGGCGATAAGCACACTGCATGCTTACAGCAGCCGCTAGAGTGTACCTTATCGACCTGATCATCAACCTGACAGGAAACCATCCTGAACACAATTTCAACACTGACAGGAACAGTAGCCTTATTCATCCTAGACCCTAAACCCTAAACTATAAATCTCTTAATGTTTGATGCCAGGCTAAGCTCTCGTGGCGTCTACGTCTCTGGCAACTCCTCCTCGACGGCGGGGCTCACGGCCTCAGTCGTGCGCGATCCCAGCGGGGAATTCGCGCTGGAGGCGCGCGTGCTGAAGCTGCAGACATACTGCCAATATATGGGAGTTTCCGAAAATTAGGGGTACCTTCTTTTGGGGGTCCTTATAATAAGGATACTACTATCTAGGGTACTATATTAGGGTCTCCTATTTTCGGAAACAACCATATGGTTCTGGGAGTGAGGTTTATGTCTGTGGTGTATGGGTAATCAAACTCCTAGGACTTGTTTAGACCGTCTGAGGGTAGGGTCTACTGAGTCTACTGTTCCTGCGACTACCAATACAACAACTACTACTGCACTACTCCTACGACTCCGACGACGACTGCTACTACTGCTCCTAGCACTGCTATTATTATTATTATCATTGTTATTATTAGTATTATGCCTATTACTACTACTACTACTACTACTACTACTACTACTACTACTACTACTACTACTACTACTACTACTACTGCTACTACTACTACTACTACTACTACTACTACTACTACTACTACTACTACTACTACTACTACTGTACTAGTGCCGGCCAATGCTACGTCGGCAAAGCCTCCAATTAGGCAGTTTATGAAGTAAGAGGCACAGACCAAAAGCAGCATGTGCCGCAGGTGGGCATATACCTCATGTGTATACATACATACATATATATATATATATATATATATGTATGCGGATATACATATATCCCCCGTAAGCCCCGCGTGTAATAAGAACGCTCGACTTCTAGGCTGGAGCTCTCATTCTGGCGGACAACGGCCTTTGCTGTATCGACGAGTTTGACAAGATGGGCCAGGAGCGGTCTTAAGTATTTTTTTCTGGCCTAGCACTTCCGGGCAGACGGGGCTGTACAGGGTCATCTGCATAGTGTCTTGGAAGTTTTGCATGTCCTGGATCTTGTAGATTTAGGCCTCAAACACCATCGAGTTTCGTGACTTAGACTTGGGGGCTGCCGCCGGATATGCGAGCAAGAACCGGCCAAGGTGGAGGCAATGAACTCTTAAGCCTGCTAAGGCCCGAAGCCCGGACTCTCAGGCTCTGAACCCGGAGCCTTCCTGGCGAGAAAAGCAGGCCCGAAACCTGTTTTTGACCAGCGTGAGAGTTTAAGAACGAACCAACATCGAGAACCGAGGTGGTGAGACCCTGATCTTCAAGTGCCCCTAAGTATGCTAGCTGCTAGCTATTTAAGGAACTCCCGCCTTGGCCCCTTCTTGAGAGATCTGAGGACCAGCATTCGCTATTGGAGGCGATGGAGCAGCAGACTGTGTCCATTGCAAAGGCCGGGATCGTTTGCACGCTGCCCGCCCGGACCACAGTCGTCACTGCGGCGAATCCCAGCAAAGGGCCGCTCATACTTCTACAAGTCTACTTTCGCTCGTTTTTGTTGTTTGTGTGTGTGTGTGTGTGTGCAGTTTGGGCCGATTGAAAGTTGCGCTGGTTTTGTAGGGTTTTATCATGTTTTATCTGTCTCGAGCATTTGCTCTGAGTTTCCTGGCAATTAGGGATGTAAGGTCCTGGGACATGAGTCTGACGCTGGCTCAGAACCTGAAGCTGGGATCAAAACATGTTCAGCACGCTTGTTTGGGGAGGGCCTTTGGACCTTTTTTTGTGTGGTTTTCATAAGTAATTCGGTAAGCAGTGTATGCGGCTGAATCGAGAGGGTGTTTTGAGAAGGGCACAGGTGGATTCACGGATTGAGGAGTTGTGGTTCGTGGCCGAGGTTTGCATTTAGCATTGCCTGGTTTCGGCAGTGAACACCCCAAGCCCTAAAGCCATACGCCTTCAGAAATCAAGCCCTGAACGCTGAATCTTCAATGAGCATAACAGCCTGTGAACCCTAAATAAAGCAACCTTGAACACCTTCCGATCATAACTGGGAACTCCAACCTCCAAGTTCCCCTAAATTGCCTAATTGCTCTGTGTCCATGCTTATGTCTGCGGGACCTTAGACCTTGAGCCCGAACCCCAGCAACAAACCTGACACCCTCGAACCGAAGCTCAGGAAAGGGGTGATGTCCGAAGCACTTTTGAGCCGTTTTGACGTGATCTTTCTCATGCGCACAGCAGAGGACGTTCTTGGGATTTTACACGGGTTCAGGGGTTTTCAGGGCCTTTAGGCACTAGGGCTGGGGATTTTAGGGGGTTTAGCGTCGGGGTCAGGGAACAAGATTGTTATTACTAGTGCAGTTGAGGCTGATTGTGCGTGGCTGTCCTGAAAGCGTAACGGCGCGGAAGATTTGGTTCCAAGGTTCTGGCACGGTCCAGTAGCACTGAACTGCAAGCACCAAAACCTGGACTTCTATTGCAGTCCCGAAGGCAGCTAATTAATGGCCAACAGTCCATGTGAACCATAGCCTCAAGCTCCCATCTCGAATTCCCTCAGTCTCAAGCTGAAGTGTGCAGAGCTATGCTTTTTGTTCGGGGTTTGGGTCGAGGTTCTGGGGTTTAGGGTCCAAGTCTCATGGTTTGTGTTAGATCATGAAACCGGTTTTTTTGACAGGGAGAGAAGAGTGAAATACAACTTAAGAAAACAGCGTCAGATGCCAGGATCCCGGGCAAGACACGGCTATGTCCCGGCACATCGTGCAGCAGCGGATGCACGGATCCAGGGCCACGTCCTCCCCAGGTGAACCGCTAGGATTCCTCAAAGTGAAATCCTGCCACCCGAAACGCCGGAAGCCCGGAACAACGACCTTCGACGCACTTGAATGAGTGTGACGGGCCCATTTAAAGCCACTAGAGCTTAAAGCCCCTTCTCCCATACCTGGACCTAAGTGGAAAAAGCACATGAACCTGGCAAAAGCGTTCTCCCCGAAGGTGGAATGGAGGACTGGTCCAACAGCGCGGATGTGGAGGCGAACCGCTGCAGCCTGAAGGCTCGTGATTTCTGAGATGTCTAGGGCTCAGGACCTTCATCTGTCGTTTCCTAGTGAATGCTTTGAGGTTTCAGGGCGCGTGCAGTTCGGGCTGCAGGTCCAGAAGCTTTTTGTAGTTGTTGATATTCTCCCGGTTCTCATGGGGCGGGAGTTGAGGTTCAGGACTGGGAGTTGGGCGATAGCTATCGCATCAGGAGCTTTTCGAACTTTCATCCAGAACCCATTCCACTAGTGTTGCTAACTTGACCAATGCCCAGAAGTGAACCTTGAGTCTTTAAGCCGTAAGACTCCAAACTCAACCCTGACATCGCGAAACCCTAGAAACCTTGACGCTGTGCCTGGGTTGCGAGAGCGCAAACAAACCTTGACTCTGTAATTCTTTTCCGCTAGCCGTGGACTCTCGCCTGGTACCACCGAGTTGCGAGTGGCAAAATAAAGCCAAGTGGCTGCTGTGATCTCCGAAATCTCTGCAAGCTTTCTTATGCTGAAATCCCACAGCCCACATAGCAAGCTGCAACTAGTCGCACGCCATTTAAGATCCCACATCTTCTCGACAAACTAAAAGCCCGAACGCGACAACGCCATATCCGATATCCCGTGGTGACAGCGTTGTCTACTACATACATCCGCTACATACCACCGGTGCAATCCTATAATCCATCATGCATTATGACAAGGGCATCTATGGTGCTCCTTTTCTCGTGTGTGTAGATATGCGTATACATGCATGCATAAACATACATTCACGTACACAGGCGTATCTAGAAGTGTGTATGATGCTATCGTGAAAAACAGGATGAGTACTCAGGGCTGTGCCGTTGGTAAAGAAACTCATGACGCTAAGACTATCAATAGTAAGTGCGGCTGCACCTGTCATGATCATGTTCGCTGCGTTTGCTGCTGCTGCTGCTGCCATTGCTGTTGCTGTTGCTGTTGCTACCGCAACGACCGCGGCAACCGCTGCAGAGCGCGTGCGAGAGACAAAGCCAGGCTTCTTTGCGACCCCCCGGGAAGTCGATGATGCATGAACAAACATGACTGGCGCTTCATCGCCAACATCTTCATCATCAACATCAGCGGTGTCGCCATCATCATCCCCTTCTCTACTTCACAATCACCACGATCAGTCACATCATCTCTCCTTCCAAGCAATGCGAGCGAGAAAATCCCTCCTTCTGCATCCGGGCTGTCCTTGTTATCATCACTTCACTTGTCGTATTCATTGGACAGTCATGCTCACAAAAGCATGAACTGCCTTTGCCTAAGTGATGCTGCCTTCGTCGCTCCACACAGATCCATAGCTACATGCGACGGGCAGCAAAAGTCCAAGAGGCGCGTCTCAGCCGTCCTGGCTTGGAGCCGCTGCCCACCGAGCTGCTGCAGACCTATCTCCGATATGCCACGGGGTTCCACAGAACCAGGGGTGGCACAAAAGACGGGGCGTTCGATTCAGAAAGCAGGGTGTAGCTCTTAAATGCTCTTAAGCCGCGTGGACTGGGTTTTCCCGGGCTGCGTGCGGTGAGGAACTTCTCTTCTTGGGGGAGTTCCAGCTCATACGAAGACTCGTGTGTTTCTGCATCAAGTTTGTTGTTTCTGCTGGCTGCCCGGAACCTGGGCCTGTCGCATTTCAAGCCCTGACTGCAATGCAGTAGCGCGACTTCAGTGATACGTAGCAAAATCAACTGTGCCATTGGTACTTGCGGCACTGGCCGTGGTTCTTCTGTGATCGCTTGCAAGAGAAGGAGCAAGGTAGGAATCAAATCCTTAATCTGTTTAACTTTGCTTTCAAGAACCACTGATGTAGTAACCCGTATTGAAAGCCTTGTAAAGCTATCAGGAAACCGACAGACCCCCCAAAAACTAAGGCCAAGAAGTATGCGCAGCCGACCCTGAGCCGAGCAGCACGTGCTCGCATCAAGGATGCTTCAGTGCTCAGGGTTCGGGGTTCAGTGTTAAGGGGTTTGGAGCTTTACAGTTTATTTAATATGGGTTAGGGCTCACCAGGGTTTAGGCTCAGGGAGGTGTTGGGAAAATAGGGCTTTGCAGCTCGGGTGTTTGGGGCTCCAGCTGAACAGGTCGAGAGTTGCGTGGTGGGACTGCGAGGCTCCGCAATTAAATTAGCCCCTGACAGATAGATGGCCGGAGGGAAAGGAGGCCGAGGGCACCACGTTATGGACCTTTGGCGGTCGCTTCTTCACTTCGGCCAACCTCCCCGGCAGGACTACTACATGCAGCGCCGGGCGGCCGGTGGCGCTGTGTTGGTGACGCCACGGCTGCTGGAGGAATGCACAACAATCTCAATCTCGCAGGGGTGTGAACTCTTACGGTCTGGTTTCTCATGTCATCAGAGGAAATCGTGAGCGTACTCGTGTGCCATAGCCACGGCAAGAATATCCGTAGCGTGGAGGACTTTGAACTCACTGGCGACAACTGGCCTTCCAGCATCTTCTGCACGATATAATAGAGGCTCATTAGAGGTCTGATATTGTTTTATACCCGACAGTCGTGGGCACCACGCGCAAGTTCCGAGCTTGCATCCCTCAGGCTGCTCTCAATCCGAGAGCCTGTGTTTCAGCAGTCAGAGTCTAGTCGTCTTGATGTAGGCCCAATCCAATTTAACCACTCAAAACCGCACAACTGACAAGCTTCCTGTGCGATCTGTGTGTCTTACCATGTAGATGTTTCGTCTCAACACAAATCCAACCCAGACAGGCAATCGGATCGAAACCCCGAGCATATGAACCATTAAAGCTACGTAGGCCCCGAGTTTAAAAGAAACTGTCTGCAACCCTAGAACCCCTGCGGCGAAGATTTCCCGGAGTCTGTAACTGTTGCCCCTGGAGCCTGAAAGGTGCAGAATTCCTTGATGAAACCTAGAGCCCATTATCTACAACGCCTACAAACCCGCAAACTCCCGAAGCTTCAATGGCCTCACAACTCTACCGTAAGCTACGATAACCCCCGTCTTTGTAGGTACAGCATGCGCCTAACTTAGATTGTGTGCGCGACAGTCATGGTAGCATCGGGTCTCTGCCTGAAACCCCTGGAGGCTCTGATTCGGCTAAGCGAGGCGCGTGCAAAGGCAGAGCTCCGCCGTTCCGTTCTGGAGCCGGAGTCGGGCTTTTCGGTTTCAGGATTTAGGAGCGCATCGGGTGCTGGAAAGGGTCTGCGGTGTACTAGTTGTCCTTTGCGTGTCTTCGGTGGTAACATCATTTGAAGATCGAACGGAGGGCTGAGGGTGTTGGCAGGAGGGCTCCAGACTTGACCATTAATCATGAATCTGGGGGTTTTGCCACCTGCGAGACTTCATTGCCGAAACCCAAAGCCCGAACTCCGTCAGCAGTCCTTCCCACACAGCAGATCGAGGCAAGCTCGGTTGGGCAGTTGAGTCATTGCTTGAACTTTCGACATGGCCCTCTCCCTTTGTTTGTTTGTTTCATTCTTTCTTTGGTGGTTAATTTGTTCTTTCGGTTGCTTTTGTTGTTTAATTCTGTCTTCTTCTTCTTCCTTTCAGTCGTTCTCGCTTTGGTTCGTTCTTGATTCGGTTTCATTCGCGCGCATGCGTGTGTGTGTGTGTGTGTGGGTGTGTTTGTTTGTTTCCGTCATTGTTTTGTTTGTTTACATCGTGGGGATCACCGACCTATACCGAAACATAATCCAATCGCCCAACCAACCTAGGCTAGATCTTGTCCATTCATCCTCAGAATACAGCACTATACAAGTCAAAAGCATACTTGGTAGAACTGATTAGAACAGAAGAGATTTCTTCCAAGCTGAGAGACGACCCTAAACAGGACACCCGCGTCAGCCCATGGGCGCAGTTTACCTTTCTTGGGCCTCTTTCCTATTATTTGAAGCCAGGGAACGGAGCCCAGCAAGAGCCAAGCCCATGCCATTGCTGTGGAAGAGCGCAGGAGTCGGATGTGGAAGATGTCATCGAGCTTATCAGTTCAGGATCCGACTTCCAAGAGGAGTTTCTGGGCTTTCCTAGGAGCTTCAATTGATACAGCAGTGCAGTTTAAAGCATGGCTCATACGTGCTTCTGCATCGAAGTATATAACGGTGTCTTATCACGTATCATATCCTGGTATGCAGTGCATGACTTGTGCTGGTGCGCCCGAGAACTAGCATTTCTCTGCCGCGAGTTTGCTTGGTTTGGGGGCCTTGGAGTTTAGAGTTTGGGTTTTCGACTTTATGATATAGCAGGTGCCCACCAAACGAGAGTCTCAGGGCACCCAGCACGTAGAGTGTTAAAACGAAAAAGCTTGAGCTATGAGCCCCAGCGGCACCGGGCGTGCGCAAACATGAGCTATCAAGAACTCAGTCAGGCTTTCTAGATTCGCGTGATGGGGCAGATGAGCCGATCGAGGGCTTCTAGAGGACCGAGCTACCAGTCAGCTGGAAACATCTCGCAGAGTGAATGGCGCTCCCTGAACCCCAAGGCCCCCCCCGACCGGCATGAATCCCGTACCGAAACCCTATACCGTCTAACAGCCATCGACTCCTAAAGCTCAGGTTCCTCCAGGCGCCGGTGCGCAAGGGTAAGTCCAAGCCGAACGCCATCGTCGATCGTGTCTTGCAGTTCCTTGTTTCAGGATTCATTAGGGAATATGACATACGGCTCCTTGTTCGGGCCACAACCCAGTGTGTTGAAACTCTGCGCGATCAAGATGGGGTGCCCGAGAGAGCCTAAACCTAGAGCCCGAGCCTGTGCCAAAGAGACGCGTTTTCTACTATGGCAGCAGGAATGCCAAGCATAGCCCGCTTACCAGGAGTGTCCGTGCCACTGCCAACGTGCGAACGCTCTTCGGAATTCGTCCTAGTCCAAAGACAGTTTGGTGTCCTGCAAGTGCTTGTTCGTATTCAGGCCATGGAAGACCATGCACATCCTGGTCCCTCAACCCGAAGTCCTGATGTCCCAGAGCGGCCGAGGCGAAGCAAACCCATGTAAGCCCGATATCCCGATAAATCCCTGTAAGCTTCACTGCAAGCCTTATGATCCTGCAAGCCGCTCAAGCCTCTAGCCAAAATCGCCCCCCCATATTCACGAGAATCCCTGAGCCGCCTGAGCCGTTGCTTTGGGTACCCAGGTTCCTCGAAAGACGGAGCCGCGCCTTGGCGTCCTGGAGCCAGCACACGAAGAGTAACGGTCAATAACGGGGTGAGGGAGGGCTTAGAGCTTTGTTGAACGACAGCTGGCCGGTTGGCTGGCCAAGTCACATGTTCTACAGCAAAACACCGAGCTCTGAACCTCGAAATCTCAACTTAGGGCCGGTCTTGCTTGGCACCTGCAAGCCTTCCTTTCTCTTGGCCCTCATTGTATTCTTGCCCGCCCCATTCTCCGGCTTGCCCTCTGTTGTCGTCTGACCGCCTTTCTCCGACTCTCGTCTCCTCCCTGACCCACCCTCCTCCCTTCTCCGACACTTTCAACCTTTAGAGTCCTAAAGTGCTAAGCCATGAACTCAACAGTGGGAATAGAAGTGATCAACAATGCTAGTAGTTCGAGTTGTTGTAGGCGGATTTTCAAGGTCAACTTGAAGCGAAGGGATTCAACAACGAAAGGGAGGGTGTCAAAAGAGCCGTGCCCAATCTCAACCACGCAGACATGGGGAATTCGCGCACCATCGGCCCGAACGAGAGCTTGTGTAACAGCATCCTTATTATCACTGTCGGCAGAAAGAACCGAAAGACCAATTTGCAAATTTAGGAAGCGCCAATACAAGGAATCTTCGGCAAGCTCATGCTGGAGGTCATATTGCATCAGGTATGATTTGCTCGCAGCAACAGCACCCAACTTTGAAGTCGCGAGGAGCTCTTACTGTCTCATAAGCAGTTGTTCAACACCCACAGCCCGAAGCAGAGAAACTTGCACCCCAAGCTTGAATGCTCACTCCCTAAACCGACACGACGAACTCGAACATTACATCAACCACATCCGAGTTCTCGGGGTTCGAAATACACCGACAAGCATCAATTGAAAACGTCATGAACACTCGGCTGATCTAACACAATTAAGAAGTTCTCGTTCCTGGGCTCCTAGACATGGAGTCCAATCAAGAGTCAGAGCCAAAAGAAACAGCTACTGGTATCCAAAAGAAGGTGCCGGTGGCGGCCGGGAGTTCCAGGAATCCGAACTTCGTGCGGCCGCCGGGCCTGGTGTGGAAGGGAAAGACTGGGACAAAGCGCTGCAGCTAATGTCGCCTGGCAGCCTACAGCAGCTTCATCTTACCTTTTGGTTAGCAGGGAAGGAAAGAATGGTAGTAATAATAGTTATAATTGTACCCCATTCCTCCATTCCCTGCTAGCCAAAGGTAGGTCATGCATCCAGCAAGGCTCAGGGCCGCAAACACTGCAAGATCTTGTGCTGTCACGGGTGACGGGCTGAAAGGCTCAGTTAGCGGGGTTGAATACGGCTGGGGTGTTTAATGCAAGAGCTGTGTGAACGCTCGCCTTGCATGTTCAGCCCTGAAGCTCCTGTACGATCTCGAAGACATGCGCAAACAGACAAAGATACAGACAGACAGAGTGACTGACAAACGGAGAGACGCACTCGCGCGCACGGAAAAAAGGCAAACCCACGCAAGCAGCCGCGCACAGCCAGACACACACACACACACACACAATACAGTAAGAACCATAATCGTGGTGCAGAACTTAACAATACTCAAATGTGAATTCTAAATGCAACTGAAATGAATCAATGTTTTCTACTTAATTTGGGTAGTTCAATGAGGTATGCCCTTATTCTGTACATACATACACGCATGCATGCGTATGGATGGATGGATGGATGTAAGTATATCGCGAACAGATGTAAATGTACATATATCTATATATATAGACAGGTTTAGATGTAGCTATAGATGTAGACACAGGTACACACATGTCGATGTACATGCAGGTTTAGACTTCGTTTGCATATGTGTGTGTGTGTGTGTGTTTATGCATGTCTGTGTGTAGGCGTATGTAAGAAGTACATATGTATATAAACATACTGGCATACGTATATATTCAATAATTTGACTCGCTGTAGTATAACATAGTATCATATTACACAATATCAGACAACATAATATGACATAGTATAACACAAAGCAATTTGTGTTGTATTGCTAATTGTACAATACAATACAATACAATACAATTTAACATGCTATAGCAACGCATAATGTGATACAATATGACATAATATGATATACGTACATATACACACACACACACATATATATATATATATATTGTATATATATATATATATATATATAGATATACATATATATATATATATATATATGTATATCATATTGTACATCACACAGAATGTAGAATGTAGTGTAGATTGTAGTTTATATTGACTATTGTATGTATGGATTGGATTGTTAACTTTTCGTCATAATATCTGATACAAATCTTTTAACATGTGTATATATAGAGAGAAGTCATGTACCACATTTTATGTATGTGTTTTATACTATCTGTTTCTTTTATATCACATAATACATATAGTCTATAGTATATAGTATTCGTGCACACACACACAGACACACACACACACACAGACACACACACACACACACACACACACACACACACACACACAAACACACACACACACACACACACAGACACACACACACACACAGACACACACACACACACAGACACACACACACAGACACACACACAGACACACACACAGACACACACACACACAGACACACACACACACAGACACACACACACAGACACACACACACACACACAGAGACACACACACACACAGACATAGACACAGACACAGACACACACACAGACACAGACACAGACACCGACACGGACACGGACACGGACACCGACACCGACACCGACACCGACACCGACACCGACACCGACACAGACACAGACACAGACACAGACACAGGCACAGGCACAGGCACAGACACAGACACACACACACACACACACACACACACACACACACACACACACACACACGGACGGGGGGGCGGCGATTTTGTGGCGGAGGACCAGGCAAAGCGCAAGTACAAGCGTTTGTGCGCAATCCTGCACGCGCAGTGCATGTATCTACTCATACATGCACCAGAAACCAAAGCAGAGTTTATCACCGGCTTTACTCATAGTTGATAAATCGTACCTGTACTTCATGTAGACAGGGTATCACAAAGCCAAGATCCTGAGCCCTAGGCCCTAGACTTAAAAGGCACGCTGCCTCCTGCAACCCTGAAGATCTTGAAGCGTCAGGAATGACCCCGGGACTCTGACTCTCTCCTCTGGGGGCCGCTACATCTTCAACCCTGGCATGCGCTGAGCCGTCCCAGATGCGTCAACACCAAACCCGGAAGCCTTACTAGACTCCGAACCTAAAGTTGAAAAGCGTTCAAGACGCTATCATAGCCCATGCACATACCCACAAGTATGATGCAGCTTTCGCTCCCTTGACCGAGTGGTGTAGGGAGGTGAGACGCAGACTGAATGTTTAATTCCACTGTACAGAGACGTCCTTAAAGGACTGAACAGAGACCTTAGGTGCAAGAGCAGTGGCCAAGACTCAGCGAACTAAAGGCAGGTGAGTCCAGTCTCAGGGCAGGGCCTAAACACGATTCCCTCAACATTTCGACTGTAGCGAGGCGGTGGGCATGTAGTTGCTTGTGGCTGGGTGCAGAGGACCTTAGCAATCAGGTGCAGTGTTTAAGGCCTCGGGGCTTGGAGACAAGATCTGATAAGTGTGATGACGTTTACGTTTAAGGCCCTTGACTCGCAATCTTGTCAAACCGTCGAAGGTCGTGGTCGTCCTCGGCACACTCGAGGGTGCGGGCTCTTTTTGAATAACGCAACAAAAAAGCAGCCGAAGTTCTAGACTAGCCAGCATGTTCACGATCCCGGATCGGCAGACCCTACGCAGTTAACAGCAGCATCTGCTCTTGCGAAGCATACACGAAACGGTCCACGGGGGAAGTGGACAGCTTTGGCCATGAGGGAGGTGGGCTTGCGGAAGTTTGGCGGCTTTTCTTGTTTCAAAACTTTCGAGAGAGGCTTTAGGGTTTGATTTGGACGCAAGCTGGAAGGGTTTGCGGCTGTTGATTCATGGTGTAAGACTACGATTTTCGTGTTGAGGTTTGAATGTTAGAGATCTTGCTGTGTGTAGAGCCGCGTTCTTTCGTTTCAGAGTATGAAGACTGAACAGGCATGCTAGAGCATGTTAAGCTTTGTCGGGGCAGGGCTTCAGCCCTTGCTGACTTTCGATATGCAGCCTAGCCGCATCCTGCAGCAGCTAGCATTCGGCTGAAAAGGTGCTGTGTGGGTGAAATAAAAGGAGCCTGACTCCCAGCAAAGGCCCATGTGGCATCCATGAAAAGTGCCTAGGATACGGAGATTTAGCCGGCATCCTAGATTGCAGAAGGCCTTTGGCAGTGCGGGAGAAAAGGGCATTGCAAAAAGCAGTCGTTGTGAGGACTTGACCTGCCCTTCCTTGAATCTTCCAACCCTTACCCCCAAACCTTGCAGGTTTGGTGCTTATTGTTTGTCGTCTCGGGGCGTCAGGAAGGCAGTGTCGAAATAATCGATGCGTAGGCTTGCTTGTTCTTCAGCCTCAGTTTTTCGGACTATTCTCAAATCTCTGGGGTTGTGGAAGCCTGGATCGACCGCTGCGTCCTTGCATGCTCTCGTGTCTTTCGTCAGATCGTGTTTGATTTGCTGAGCGACATTCTGCGTTCGAACTCAAAACCAGCCATCTGCAAAGTCCATGTCATGTACCCGAAACCCTAAACTAACTCAAAGGCCATGGTTACTGGTGGGCTGGCGCAGGTTCAGGCTGATGTATGGTCGTTGAGATGTCGTTAAAATTGAGGTGGGGTCAAAGGGGTTGAGAAGGTTAGGGGATTCGGGCCCCTAAACCCGCAGCTTAGTTACTCACCTGCTTAAAAAGGTCTAAAAGGTTGCGATTCTCCTTGGGTTGAGACTTCGCGTAGCGATGCAGCGGGATGACTCGCTGCCGGAGATCTATGGCGGAGATCCGGGGTCGCGGCCTCGGACTTTTTGGCCTCACCGAGACGGGCACGTTTCGACCGCCGAAATCGGTTCTGACTTTTCAGCACCGTGAAAAAGAATCAACAGCCCAGAAGCCGGTGTTGCCTTGAAGCTCGATGGCGAGCTTTCAAGACATGCACTTCTGAAGGTGCAGTTCAGCTCGACCTTGAGTGCTCGCAAGTCTGGGCTTCTTTGTTGTAAAAGTTCGACGCTTGAACGCTAAAGTGGCCCTAAACTGCAGACAGAAACTCGCCAGACCCCACAGATCCCAAAGACCACGACCCAAGCACGGCTATGCCCAGGAGAGGTCGAGGTCTCGCCGACCTCAAAGGCAGGGGACATGATCTTGCTGAATCTTCTTGCTGCTCTTAAGGTGGAAATCCTAGAAGGGTTAATTTACGATTTCTGGGGTCGAGTTGATGCTGCACTGTTCGCCACAAATCAAAAATGTGTGTCCGAATCAACTTGGCATCATGTTCACAGGTCTTCCGGATCAGTGTCGCAGTACGGGATTTCTGCGCTGGGGCCTAGGTCATTTCAGAAGCATGGGTTTTACTGCTCCAGCCTTGGTTTGGTACATGTTGTTCCCAAACTCGATGGTCCAGTTAAAGAGAGCCTCGCCCAGCCTGTGCGGCAGGCCACTAAGTATACTACTTAACTGCCTTGTCTGGCAAGTCCGAGTTGCGAGAGCCCAATCGGCAAGGCGCCACTTTACATTTCGACCTGCTCAGCACCATGCTTCTGCTGGCATTCAGGTCAGAGCTAGAGGCTGTCGGCCTCAGGGCATTCTTGTTTCACACACCGAAACCGTGTGGAATCTTCGCTTAGTTTTTCAGAAGCATGTCCTGGCAGGTTGGGATCCACTGGACCGTCGCATCGAAGTGGAGAAGAAGGAAAAGTGGCCCAGCTGAAATGTAAGAAACAACGCAACTGCTGGAAGACTGATGTGATGACCCCTCGATACCTACAGAGCATATGAAGCCAGGAAGCCATTGTTGTCATCAGGACCTTACAGCATATCAGTGCAGGAGCTGCATGCTCGGGAGAACTTCTGACAACAGCACCGCTCTACAGTATTACGGTCCTCTTACGCTCCTGCCAAGTGCGGAGACCCATTCCCGTTGACATCAAGTCGAACGCGAGAGGCAGAAAGAACAATCATGTGTTTGTTGAGTGGCTCGTTGGTAGCCAGAGTGTAAAGCACTTCATAACTCTCGTCTAACCCCAGCCTTGCAAACCTAAACACCCAGTCACAACATCTCAAAACCTCCAAACTCCGGTGTTGGTGTTTCTGAAACCTTTCGACTCGGCTGGAAAGCTGCAGGGTTGGGAGCTTCAGGGCTCATGGTTCAAGATCGTAAGGCCTTATAGAACTTAGAGATTTTGAGGGTGCGCAAACTCTTGAATCCTCGCACCCGACTTGCTCTTCGTGTGGCCCAAGCAAAACCAAAGCCCAGCACATGGTCTTTAGATTTTTCTTTGGGGTCGCAGACTCAGTAAGACCCCAACCTTCGAAGACTCTTGAGCCCCCAGCGGTCTTTTAGTCCCAACCTCAGCCCGAACTCTTGAAACAAGGGATGGCGGTTGGACTTTCGATTTTCAGTCTTCACTAACCAAACGATGATGACGACAACAGGATAAATTGAAACCCCAGGTACGGCCAAGCGCTGCGTGACCAAATGGCCATGAGCCCCGGCATCGCAAAGATCCAGTGCCCGTTGCCAGAACGCGGCCTACAGAGTCGAGCTTCTTCGAGTCTGTATCGGTTAGGAGCTGGTTTGGAGCTTTGCTTAAGGCCTGCCGCAAATTGCTAGCTAGAATGTGGGGCACCGCGGCACCACCATCCTAAACCTGAAATCCTAAATCTTGGAGCCCCATGCGGTGAAGAAAACATCTTATAGCTGCCGGGTCTCCGAGTCATAGCGCGATACCTGGATCTGGGGTTAAAGTTGCGTCGGAACTGCATGTATGTTGCTCCTGGGCTTCTGCACACTGCACGCTACGTTCACCAGCCGTTTTTAAATGCAAAGACAGATCCCGAAAAGAACAGAAGCCACCTTCAAAGAGCTTTGATCCCATATCATCATCGAGGCTTCAGCGAGGCAAATCCTTAAAGCACCAAACCCTGACCATGTGCGAGAGTTAGGGCAGAAATGCCTCACAAACCCTCCAGCCCTACCCTGACCTACACACTCGGTCCATCCCAAATCCCATAACTAAGACGCAGTTTCTCGACCCTGGAAGTGCCGTAGGGATCCTTGTATACTGCCATGAATTAAATTGTGTTGGTAGCCAGACGGACGTTGGTGTCTGCCACAGTCAGGAACAGCGCCCGGGGCACCGGCGAGGTGACATCCACTTCTCCTTTGCCGCCAAGCCGTGGCAGCTCTTCCACCCGGGCCGCCGGCGAGGTGTCGGAAAGTCTTGAACCGTGTTCTCTTAGGTGTTTTTCAAGTTGCAGGACATGTTGTCTGAGTTTAATTTACGATTCAGGGTTCTCAAGGTTGGGGCAATTTGGGGCGGTTCAGGGTCTAGGATAGTCTCTTGAGCCCTGAAGCGGGCCTTGGCGCATTTTTAGTTTCGGGTGCATGAGGTCCCAGGCTCAGAGTGCACCCTCGAGGGGTCTTGTGAGTGTACATAAGAGGCCCAGAAATTTGGAGCCGGTTTCAAGCTGCTGCTTCATAGCGGGCCCGAGGTTCGTGCATCGGCTTGCTTGTACAGGGATCCCAGGATGACCTTCAATCCTTTGTCAGCCACGTCAGCCCGATTCGTGGATGATGATAGTCTCGGGGCCTCGGGGTTGGAAAATCACCCCGCGCCAAAGGCCCTCAGACCGCCTCCTTCCTTGGACGCCTTGAGTCTTGAAGCCCCCCGAGGCCTGAACACTGCATCTACAAGACGCCATCTAGGGGCGCACCTTGCAATCCCGAGCTTTCTGAGTTTGTAGAGACTCAGGGGTTTAGGATTAGGGACCTCAAGTTTACCTGAAGCCGGCATCCTTCCCTGCAGCAAAGCTCCTGGCAACTGTCCCATTCCGTTGAGATCCAGAAAACGGGAATCATGCAAGCACGAACTCGGTAGCGGTCATCTACGATTGCTATTGTCTTCCTATGGCCACGTCCACGTTGTAGCCATCAGCCGAGTATTCAACTACCGGAACGAAGGACCCGAAGCCTGGGACAGGTGATCGCCTCTCCGCACTCCAGTGGGCTACCACTTGGGGGAGGGCATGGCACCGACGCCGTTGCGGCCGCCAAGGTGGGTTTTCTTTGACCTTTCCTG